TCTATTACTGTTAATATTAAAAACTAAAAATTAAAAAATTTAGCATAAATTTAAATTTTAATGATGCAATAAGTAATATTAATATTTCTAAATATAAGTTTATTTTATTTTTATACAAAATAGCAAGCATGCCACCATGTGAAGAGTTCTTGAGTAAAGGAGTAGAGGGCGTACCAAATGATGATATAGGTTGACATTTTGGAACACCTGTGCCAAATACAAAAGGAAATGTTTAATGTAAACTTTGTGGTTAAGTTCTAAAAGGAGAAATAACACATTTCAAGGAACACATTGCTCATAAAACTGGCAATGTTGCCCCATGCCCCAACGTTACTGGTATGTTATGTTTTTATAATTCCTTTGAAAATATTATTGTAATTTTTCAATAAAAATTATAAAATTACATAAGCATGTACAACTAATTTTTTCTCTTTTTTTAACTATATTGTTAATAGGTATAGTAAAAGAAAGTATGATGAAACTCCTCCAAGAAAACAAATCAAAAAAAGCTAGCAACAAAAGGAGAAAAAATGAATTTTTATCACAGTTAAGAGAGGAAGATGATTATGAAGGATTTATTAATGAGGAGATCGCTACTAAACAAGCCATGCGAGAAAGTATCCGATCACAACATGAGTGGCACAAAAGATAAGAATTTAGACAAAGAACTAGTGGTTGGAGTAACATATATGAAGAGGGACGAAACTCTCATGGCTTAGTTGCTGAATATTTTGAAGAAAGAATAAGGAAATCAACTCTAAATGAGTCTGAATTTTCATTAAGAGAAGCTATACCTAAATTGGTTAGAAGTAAGAGTTCAAGGTAACCAAAAGTAAGTGATTCATTTTTAAAGACATTAAGAAGAAAGATGGGTGAATCAGTATCAAAATTTTTATATGATCAACTTTCTTTTCAATTAGCAAATTCTCCATAGTTGCATAATTTGATTTCTGTGACAATAAAAGTTAGCCAACATGTAAAACTTTCAACACCTTATGAAGTCTTAGATGTGTATTTAGAGTTTGAGTATCACTAAGTTCATGAATGGGTTAATAGATTAAAAGCTCTTTAGAATGAATTAGGTGTCACTTTGATGTGTGATGGTTAGACCAATAGTTTGAATCAAATGCATATCATTAATTTCTTTGTTTATTGTAGTAAAAGGATCATTTTTTAGAAATTTGTTGATGTCTCAAGTATTCGTAGTAGAGATGCAAACTTTTACTATAGATTATTAGATGAAGCTATGGAAAAAATTGAGAAAAAATACATTGTTCAAATAGTTATTAATAATGAGGTAGCACTTAAGGCCACAAGAAAAAGACTAATGGAAAAGATAAAATATTTGTGTTGGACAGCATGTTCAGCTTATTATTTGGACTTGTGCCTTAAAGACATTAACAAGAAAAAAAATGTGGCAAAGGTTTTGGATGATGCAAAAAAAGTGACTTGTTTTATATACAATCACATTTGCATTGTTAATTTAATGAAGAAATATACACAAAGAAAGCAAATACTTTGTCCTGCTCTTACCCGTTTTGCCACTCATTTCATATAATTAGAAGAAATAATAAGGCAAAAGTAACGTTTGAGAGAGATGTTCAATTTAAAGGTTAGTACCTAGTAATTAGTATAACTATTTTAATCTAGCATCTTTTTATGATATCATTATTTAAAATATTAATTTAAAATATATTACTGTAAAAATTTATTGATGAATATATAGGAATTTAAAGAATCAAAATAGGGATAACAAAAATCAGAACATGCCTATAAAGCTAAAAAAATCATTTTGGAAAAAGATTTTTGGAAAAAAGAAAGCGATATAATAAAAGTTTATGAACCTTTAGTAAAAGTGTTGCGCCTTATGGATGGTGATGAAAAACCAACAATGGGCTATATTTATAAGGCTGTTATAGAGCTAAACAAGCAATTTAGCAAAATTGTTGTTATTTTGCTAAATATGAAAATATTATTGATAATAGATGGAGTTTCATATATTCTGACTTGCATTCAACTAGTAAGTAAACCAAGAATATATATGGTATTTAAAAAAATATGTTTATCTTTTATATTTAAATTGCTTATGTATTTATTTTTTTTATTACTTTAACATAATATTGTTATGAATTATGTTTAGGTTACTATCTAAATCCATAATTTCAATTTGGAGTGGAACATTTTGCAAATGTATTTAAAGAAACATTAGAAGGTATAAAAGTAGTTATTGAAATATTAGAATCTTTGATAGATACATAAATCAGAATGATTAATCAGGTTAGCATTTAATACTATTTTATAACTTTAACATTTATTTTATGTATTAAAAATTGAATTATTTTTTATTTATTCATTTATTATTGTATTTTCAATCGATGTAGTTGTTATTATTTCGAAACAAGCATGAAACATTTGATACTCCACAAGCACAAAGAGCTTGGAAGCAAATGAATCCAGGTAAATAGTAAGTTAAATAATTATAATTTATTTATATTATTTAATTGTATAGCTTATTCAAATTTAATTTAAATAATTTTATATAGCTGAGTGGTGGATGATAGATGGCACTTGTGTTCCTAAATTACAAAAACTAGCAGTCAAAGTGCTTAGTCAAACAACATCTACATCAAATTGTGAACACAATTGGAGCACATTTAGCTATATTCACACCAAAGTAAGAAACATATTGAAGTTTGAAAGATTTCATAAACTTGTATATATCTATTATAACATAAGGCTAAGGATGAGATATTAGAAAAGAATGAGCATTAATGAGATAAACAATAATTTTAATCCTATTAGCCTTGACCATATTTTTGAAGATGATGATCCATTAACAGAATGGCCTCAAGAGAAAAAAAATCATCTGTTAGATGGTCAAAACTCTAATTGGTTGCTCGTAGATAATTTTGATAATGAAATGAATGGTGAACAATCACGCCAATCTCAAGAAAAGAATGTGTATCATTCAAGTTCAAGTCTAATACCAAGTTAGAATGATGATGGTGAGGGTTTAAGTCCAGATGATGATAATGATAATGGTAATGGTAATGGTGATGGTGCATATTTTGATGATAATATGGATGCAAATTAACCTTACAGCCCATTTGAAGGAGAATTTGAACTTGCTATTACTGGTGGACTTTTCATTAATATGACAGAACAGAGTAAATCCATTTGCTAAATCCAGTGAGGGTCAAAGTGCATGTATAGCTAGATCAAAAGGAAAAGCCAAAAAGCACTACTATGATATTTCTAGAGGTTCTTCATCTTCAGGTGAGAGACCAAATTCTAGTAAATTTGAGTATAGTGAATCATCTGCTAGTACTCAAGGATGCTACTATCCACTAGAACAACCTAATTTTCAACCTCCTCATGGTTATCTACCTCTACATGGTTATTATCCACCTCAAATGTATCCTCCACCTCAAATGTATCATTTACCACAAATGTATCCCCCATCACAAATGTATCATCCTCAAATCTATCCTCCACCTCAAATGTATCAAGAACAAAAGCTACAAGAATAGGGATGGGGTCAACTTGGCTTTCAAAGTGAAGATAGAGAATTTAATCCTCCTCGTCATTCTATCACGTGGTAAAATTTGAAATATATATCAATAATTGTAATTGATGGAATTTGAAATTATTATATTTTTAAGTTTGTAATTTTATTAAATATAGATGCTTGGTATTTAACATATTATGTTTTGTTAATATTTGATTTGTCTAGAATTAGTATTGAATATGAACTTGGCCAAGAAAAATTTTGTGGATAAACCAATGAATGCTTTATTATAATCTAAATAAAATTGTGAATAATTTTTTTAGAAAATAAAAAAATAGAGTGTCATAAACTATTTTTAAAATCATTAAATAAGAGTTTTTATAATTATAATTATAATTATTCCATTTTATAATAAATTGTGCAAAAAAAAAAAAATTTACAACCCGCAATGACTGTAATAATCTCCGTTATATCCGAAAACACGATAAATGCGGTGCGACGGAAAACATGATCGAGATCGCTATTTAAATCCCTGCCATGGGCCTTCTTTAATGACATAATCATAATTATTTGGACTTCGAAATTTTATCAAGAAGAAGTTGTTACCAAGATCAATAGTGAGGAACTTACCTTGAGTTTTCCAGAGTTGGTTCAGTTTGAAAACCAGGAACTGGTATCCTACCTTTCTCCCAAACACTTTAACAATCAGCGACCATTCCCATTTTTCTCTAATTCTAGCCTTTTCTTCCTTAGTGAGAGTGACATTAACAACATTTTGGTCCTCATGCCCTTCTTAGTTTGGGATTTCTTCCTCCTTTTCAGTGTCAATTTCCATACTTTTCTCTTCTTATGAGGATAGAAATTGTTCATACCTTCTATATGAAGCTCCAAGTAGAGAGTCCCTGTAAGAAATGATCTTTCTTTCGGGTGTTCCTTCTGTAGGCTTTGCTAGATTATGAATTTCCTTTCCCTGAGAATCCCTGATTCTCTTGATGCTGCGTTGCAGTTCTTCAGCCTCTTCTCTAGAGAGCGCAATGTCGGTTTCCATCTTTATTTGATGGCAAGCATTTGTAATATTGTCAAACAATAAGTGATTTCATTTATTATAGAAAGTGTGATCGTAGACAATGACGGAAATAGAGGCCGGGCCGATCACCCTCCCGAAGTTACTAAATTTCATTTTTACTTTTATGAAATTTTATATGAAATTTGATGTTAAATAAGTTAGAAAGATCATTAATTTTTAAGGGAGATGCTAACTCAAAAATACATATACAAAAGGATATATATATATATATATATTTAATTGACAAAAATATTATTAACTGAAAACACACCTAACATCCATATGTTATTTTTAACAAAGAACAAATTAAAAACAAATCAATACTACATAAATTAATTAAGATCTAAAACAAACAAACCAAAAGTTATTACTTCATCAATATATATATATATATATATATATCAATAGATCTTATAACATTTGCTGCTATCCAACTAATACATAAATGGCATATATAATCCCTGGAATATAACCCAATAATGTTAGCACCAAATCTATCCAGAATTCCACCTGCATTTCCAAAAACCATTATATTAGACAAAACAAAACATTATAAAACCTTTTTTATTCATGCTATCTTCAGTAAAACAACAACAACAATAACAAAAAAAACCTTTTCTTTTCATCTTATAAATTTTTATCATTTTTTTATAGATAATTGAAACGAAATGAATATTTCATTTTTTAGAGGATGGTAAAAATAATATAAACAAACAAAAAAAGAAAGTGAATTACCCCAAAACCATAATGGAGAAAAACTCCTATAGGGGGAAGAAAAATTGCAAGAATCACTTCCACGAATGTCTCTGAACCCATTTGAACTCAAACGAATTCTTCTTTTTCCTTTTTGATATGGTAGTGAGTTGTAAATTTTGGAGGAAAATTATTAGTATGCTAAATTTAGGAAGAGGATTTTTTTGTTTTGTTTGCTCAATAAAGCAGGTGCCAAAATTAGAGAGACCAAAGCTGACACGTGACTATCTTTTTAACATGTATGTCTTTTTTTCTTTTTTAATTTTTTATAAAGAAGATAAATCAATTCAAATTCGACGAGTTTTGATTCGATTCGATCATTTAAGATTTTTTTTTCTTAAATCAGATATTAAATAGAGTTGAGTCGGGTAATATAAAAAAAAATTTAAAATCAGATCGAGATAAGGTTTTAGACAAATCCGACCTTACTCAATCCGATATATATATAAATTATTTTTTAATTATTTATTTAATTTTATATTTATTTATATACTTAATTTTATATTTATATTAAAAAATAATATTTTATTAATTTTGGATTGAATCAAATATGATTTTATATAATATCGAATCGAATCGAATTCGAATATAAAAATAAAAAAATTTTCAAGTCGAGTTAAATTAAAATTTTATATATATAAAATTAAGTAAAGTAAACTCATCTTAACTTGATCTGTTATCATTAATTTTTTAAGATTTTTTTTTGACTGAAAAACATATTATTTAAGTTTTCTGACCATCTATAAGTACTACATCTAGTTAATTATGAGCAAATTTTGTCATTGGTCACGGAATTTATATTTAAATCTCATTTGAGTAATTAAAATTTATTTTATCTCAACTAAATCATTAAAATTTATTAAATATATTAGAATTGATCATTGCAATGGATTTTATTTAAATTTTGATAGAAATATGACATGACTATCGCAGCAAGAACCATGGCAACTTTCACATCACTAATTAAACTCATGTAATTTTATAAAAGGTCATTAAAATTTTATCCAATTTTTAAATAAATAATTGAACTTTAATTTATCATGACAATGTCACTAAAATTTATTAATTGTTTCAAATTTAGTCATTCCAATAAATTTCATTCAAAATAAAAATTAAAAAAAAACCAAATATTAAATTCACCAAACAACATCTAAAATTTATATGTAACTAAAAATCTTATTACATCCCAAAAAAATCAAAAAGAAAATTTTAAGTAAATCAGAGGAGATACGCTTTTAATGAATATTTGTTTTTCTTGAAATATTATTGTTACCATTTATATTTAAAAGCATAAATATTTATTAAATATGACTGCTTTTATTTATATATTTATTAAATATTACTTAACACATTTTAATGACTTTTTAGTGAAAAAATAAAATTTCATGACTAATTTAAAAATTAAGTAAAAGTTTAATAATTTTTCATGAAATTTTATTGATTTAATTATTTTATGTGATTGATGTGGATGATGATGTGATAGTTATATTTTTTTTTGTTAAAATTTGATTTAAATATATTAAGGTAATCAATTTTAGTATACTTAATAAATTTTAGTGACTCGGTCGAGACAAATCAAAGTTGAATAAACCCAAAAAAATTTTGGTATAAGTTCAATGATCGATGGTGAAATTTACTCAGATATCTACATCTACATCTATGCATGGGTTGGGTAGCCCACTTCAAAAAAAAAAAAAATTAAGTTCTAGTTCAACAAGATTACTAAAAGAATAATTATTTTTGTTTAATTTTAATTTTAAAATATTATTATAAATTTGCTTTTGATATTTTAATAATAATAATTTTAAATTAAACAAGCTTAATCGTAGAATAAGAAAAAAAAATTTAAAAATATCAACTAAATCTAATTGACTATTTGACATATTACTCTTTTTTTTAATCTTTTTGATTGTCCATTTATAAAAAAAAAATTTCATTTCAACCGCTTTCAGTATCATTTGAAATTATTGGTCCATATAGATATTCAATTATCGTAATTTTATTATTGTAATCATCTTAATATGTATATAAACATCAATATTATAAAAAAATAATAATAATGTGAAACGCTACTTACATGTATATGTGTATAAATTGAATATGGCAAATCTTATAAGAAAGTGCATAAGAAGGAAAATCAAAATTCCAAAGCTAAGATTTACCATTGAGTTTGTTGCCCACATTGGTGGATGAAGCTTTGGGAGGAGAATTGAGACATCGGTATAAAATTATCAAAAATTTAGTTGAGAATTCAGAATAATCACAAAGAACAAGAGAAGAACATTTTTAACCTTAATAAGAGTTTAAGGGTTAGTCTGGCTTGTCCACTGTTTAAATGCACTTCAATCAGCAAGAATCATTTGCAGCCGAAGACAGCATCCATGACAGAACCCAATGCCGCTACAAGTTCTATGGAACTAAGACATTCAAGGGAGTTGTGCTTAACAATGTCTACTTAGAAAAGAAAAGCTTGCTGAACTTTGGTGTTAGGGCCAATAGTATTCCTGATTAAGCTAAAAGAGCTTGGTTTGAATCTCCCCTTGCCCTAAATTATACCTTGTTAAAAAGAAAAAAGAATAAATGCTTATGAATGCTTTCAATCATGTTATTTTGTGTTTTGAAACATGCAACTTATTGGCACAAGCTTGGATCATGATGTTGACAGAAGAACCACAACAGGAATATTACTGTAGGGAAATTGAAATATACAAATGCGAAGCTAGGATCTGCTCGAACTGAATTTCCAGCATTTATAGAATAGCAGAAGCAAAATTTATTCTCCCCTGGACGAAGAGGAAGAAAAAAATTTATCTTCCACTGATATCAAGGCTGATAAACCTCAGGAAGTTGAATACCGACACTTGCAGCTGATTTCCCAAGTATTCTTTTCATTTCATCTGACCTATCTACCGCTATGTTGAAGAGAACAATAATTGCCAAAATAAGTATCAAAACCAGAAGAAAATCGCATTCATTTCTTTTAGAAAATTTCTGGCATTTAAAAGAACAATAATGAAGCCTCAGGTGGTACCATGGATGGATACAAATTACCGTAGTCCATGGCATACAAGAAGCATGGGAAAAAATAGAGAAATCGTAGCTATATCCTCGTTAGAGAAACCAATGACAGGCGTCTTAAAACCTTCTATTAATCCTTGGCCATTGGCCAAGGAACAAATATATAATTTTTATTTATATGATATATTAATAAATTCTTAAAAACGTGAAATAAACCAAAAAAATTAAAAAGCAACTAGCAAATGCAACAATCAGAGGAAGTCTAAGCATACCAGACAGAATAAGATATTCTAAACAAAAGCAGGGAAAGATAGCAATACCTTGTGATGAACACTGTTAAGTAAAAAAGTATGATCATTGGTGCTAGGGGCATATAATGGTAAAAAATGCATAGTGGTCTTGTTTTCTCTCTCAGTCTTCAGTAGACAATCAGGGGTGTTTTGATCATTTGTACCGACCTGACATGTCTGGTCGATCTAACATCTCCAGTGCCACCTCAGTTCGGCCTTGTTCTAATTGTCCTTTTCAAATTACTTATAAATATGGAGACTTAAGCATCTTGAAGACCATGAAGCCAGGTTCATCTAATTCATATATTTCTATCCTTCCTACTTTTTCACTTCCTTTCTAACCCGATCCTTACTGATTTGTGTATCAAAGTGCAAACGTAGATAACACCCCTTACTTTTGTCTCTAACCATTTTTCTCTTTTGCATTTACAAGAATACCTCTAGGTCGAAGCTCAAAAATCCAACATTTGAAGTGCCAGGTAGGGGCACCAGCATTTTCATATCAACCAAGCACAAAACAATGCCACCAAGAAAAAAAAAACCCAAGAGGAAGGAAAGACAACCACCTCGATAGGAACAGAAACTCACTAAAACTGGCATTCTATCCACCCAGCTCAACCACAAGCGAGGCCAACCATGGAGCGATTTTAAGCCCTAACCGAGCAAATATAAGCCCTCAAACAGATGCTACAAACTATAACCTCACCATAAGTCTCCAAAGTGCCAAACTTAGTCACACTGGGCCGAGAAGCTGTTATCGAGTAGCCATGCTACGAAAGGATGGAAGCTTTCTCAGCCTCCAAAGAAGAAGAACACACCAATCTAACTCCTTACTGCCCCAGCTACAATTCTACACATGCCATAACCTAAAAGTCCAAACAAACAGACCATGAACTTTAACCAAATAGAAATTTGAAAGCTTGGATACAAGCCATAGAGAAAGAACTGAAAATAAAACCAACAGCATTTGAGGATAAGCTTAAGTTCCTATAGACCTCACTTTTTACTTAAGAGATTGATGAGCTATGCCTCCCAAGGGATTCAAAATGCTAACCTTGGAGACATATAACAGTACTTTTAACACCTTTGATCATTTGAAATTTTATAGAACTAATATGATGATACAGGGGGCAGACAAGGCTTTAAGGTACAAAAGTCTAGCCATTACATTGAAAAGTGCAGCTCGATCCTAGTATAGCAATCTAGAGCCGAGGTCAATCACTACTTTTAAGGAGTTCAATCACTTATTCCTGTCCCAATTCGTGAGTAATCGAAGAGCTAAAAAAATAACCCTAAGCTTAATTTCAATTCAACAAAGGCATAATGAAACTTTAAAAAGTTATGTCACGCGTTTTAACATAAAAACACTATAGGTTAAAGACCTAGAACAGACAATTGTTATTACCACATTGACTAGTGGACTCAATGATAATGAGTACTATTTAAAGTTGACATTATTATTAGAACCATCCAAAACTCTGGCAGACATCCTACTAATAACAGAGAAATATATCAACGCTGAAGCTACAATGAAAATAAATCAAGGTGAGATAGGCTCATCCCTCTTTTCGATCATAAAAAATGTAAGGAATTCTACGATCTTTCCTAAAAAAGAGACAACATAGGGCCAAAAATCCTAACAGAGAAAGAAACTACACTACACTGAATACCTCTCTATAGAGGATTTTGATGCAAATCAAAAGAAATCCTAACTTTAAATGATCTAAGCTAATGAGACAGAATACAAGGTGGGAT